GAGTTGTTGATGGAGTAGATTGCCCAAAATACGAGTCCAAAACGAAGTAGGAATCAAAAAAGTGGAAATCCCAGATATCTACAGGCGCCAGCCCCAGCGCAATCGCCTTGGCGATGGGGCGCAACCTTGGCCCCTCGGCGCTAGGTCTCGGGCAAAAAACATCCAAAGTGCTTCCAAAGCAATTCTTCTCCATTCTGAACTCTTCTTCAAGTCCAATACCAATTTCCAACTCCCAATGAGTTTCCAAAATAGAACTTCAACTTGATATAGGACTCCAATAACATTCCAAATTTGAATTCTTCTTGATGTTCACTACAATTAGAATTCTTCAATACTTCAAATACTTCAACAAAAGAATTTGGGTCACACCCAAATTCTAACAGTTACCATAAATTTACAACATTTTACCATGAGTCGTGTTGACCAGAAATTGGGAATAAAAAAATAGATTTTCAGTGGCAAGAAAATAACAATTATTTTATTTTATTTTGCACTCAGTTCACTTAATGAAAATTCATATTATGTGTAATTGTGAAAAATATAAACTTTTACACCGGTCTGCAGAAAGGTAGGCTAGGGCTCTTATACCAAGTTGTATCGCCCCCCCAAATTTAGTACATTTTTTTTATATATAAAAACAAAGATTTGAAGTGTTATTAAAATCTTTCTTATCAAATTTATATACTATTGTACAAATATTGGGATTGGATTGATAAATCAATAATTTTAAATTCAATAATTTAAATGAGAACATTTCATATAAAATTAAATCTTAAATATTATGATTTCAGTAGTCAAATTTAATATGGGATGTTAACAATGTTCAAATACCAAACAACTAAAATAAAGTGCACTTAATAAAAGATAGAAATATTCTTAAAATAAAAATTTGGCAATAATCATTTCTAGAAATTTTACGTGGCAACCTATAGACATCAATATCGTCCAACCTTCCACACGTCCAATACGATTCGTTCTAATCTGAAAATATTGTAAGAGAGTATTTTTGAAATACTCAGTAAAAATACGTGCAAATTCTTATTTAATATGATATAAATATAAAATGACATAACAAATCAACATTTTTTTAGATTTAGAGCAAATTGGTCATGGTATCCAATAGTTCAAGGAATTTTTTTAGAATTCCTATATCCGGTAAGATTTATATATTTGATCTAATGGTCTATCCCGAATGATTTACAAAAATATCAATCCGAAGACCTTATAGTATTTCATGCCAAAATTTATATCCACTTTGCACTTAATCTTACCTCAATTGATATGAAAAAAATTCTGAAAATATGAGGTTAGATTGTAGACAAAAATGAACATAGTACATGTATGAAAAATGGAAAATGACGTGTGAACTTTTTGAAAACAGTTCTTACTCCAAAAACATATATGAAATTCTCACACCTGTAACTTAAATCACGCCTTTCATATTGAATATTTGAAAATCAAATGCATTTCACATTTAACTACGAATTTATAAGGTTAACTAATTTAGTTGTTTTCAAAATTAATATGATAATTACGTTTAATTGATGACAATATATTAAACCATTTCAATTTCCCAAAATAATCGTATCTTAACGATTCCTCTACCATTTGTTTTCTTTTATACATAAAATATTAAAATAATAAAATTTTCTTTCTATCACAATAATTAAGATGTAACTAGTTCAAGTTTATTCAATTTATGTTATTTTATACGAGCTACAAAATAAGTAAAGAATTTATATATTTTGTCAAATTCTATAATATTTAAATATTCAACCCAAATAAAATTTACAATAATTTTTATAAAAATACATATAAG